GTCAGCAGAGCATGGCAGGCTGCTGAACAACGACATGGCTACATGCAGGGTTCAAGCATGCCAAAAGGCTAGAGACCATTCCCAAAGCTGCTGCTTATATATAGGAAGCAGACCACATCCCTAAAGCAGCTACTCAGCTGCTTGTGGTAGATCCCACCATGGAGTTGATTGCCAGTCTCATCATGGGAATAACTACCACCGGCTGCCCAGCCACTCAACCAGTCCCAGCCAAGTTGACACACAACCTTAACCACCACAATGTCATCTTGATATCATCCCACAACTCGTTTCATATTCAATGCATCAAATCTCTTCTTGACATGGTCTCTGTATTCAGATGGGATATGCTCAAGGTTGTACTCTGGCTCTTATGCACTTGTTTTAATTTTCCTCAGCTTCAAATTGAACTTGCATGTGAGCAATTGACAGTCAGTTCCACACTCAGCCCCTGATGATACTTAGCTTCTTTATCATCTTTTTCTACAGACATTCAACTTGATTCCTGTGTATTTCATCCAGTGAGTTCCATGTGTATAGTTGCAGTTTATGTTGTTGAAAAAGGTATTTGCAATGAATAAGTCATTGGTCTTGCAAAATTCTATCATGTGATCTCCAGTCTCATGTCTATCATCAAGTCTGTATTTTCCAGCACACATATCTTTACAACAATTACAAACAAACAAACAAATAAAAAATATTTGCTCAAAGGCACACAGAGGCTAGAAAGTGCAGACTCAAATTCAGCTCTGACTGACCTGCCCCTGGTGACTGGGCAGGGGCCAAGGGGAAGAGAATAGGCTGAAAGAGGTACTGGGACACTCCCACTGCTCTGAGACTCCCCGGGGTTTGTGCCTGGCCACACACAGTGTAAAAAATGCTTTGAATACTGGAAGTCTGCAAGTGTTAGCAAAGTTGAGCTCAGAAAGAGGATGCTCTGGGTTTAGAAGCCAGCTTTCCTGACTCCTGGTTTATCCATAGCCTTCAGTGTGGAGCCACTGGAGACAAGAAAGCTCAGAGAGAGACTGGTGACTCCATGACCCCATGGAGGAGGTACTGACCTGGTAGATGGAGTAGGAGGTTCACGCTGGGGCAAATGGAGGGTGCAGGAGGGCAGTCTAAGCCTGAGGTACAGCCTGTACAAAGATCTGGAGCTGCAGAGCCTGACATAAGTAGGCCAGGGTCAGCCTGGCTGGCAGGGGTGATGTTGGAGAAATAGCTAAACTGGGTCAGACCCTCAGCCAGCCAGGCCCGGTTCTCCTGGGCCCTGGCCCAGCTGAGCTTTGCTGTCTCAGCCCCTACATCCCTACATCCTCCCTGCAGGCAAGCCCTCTCAGCATCCTGGCTGCTACGTGGCCCGGAGAACAGCCAGAACCCTCATTGTCCACTAGCCTGGCTGTGTGACCTCAGCCAGCTCATTCCCCCTCTCTGGGCCCTCTGGGCTGATTTCTCTTCTCCCATTTTCAGCTTCTTGGATCTAATTCTTGCATCTAAATTGCTTCCTGCACTGCCGGAAACCCACGGTGCTAATGACTCTCATGGTGGCTGTCTGCCCAAGCCCAGGGCTTGGCTGTCCATGCAGCCCCCTTCTCTTTTCCCTAGGCCTCCCAGGCTGGAGAGGGGAGGAAGGGTCCGGGTTATTGGCCTCCCTGGGCAGAGGGGCAGCCAGAGGGTTTAAGTGGTTGACTTGAGGTGCCACAGTATGGATTGGGGGCCAGAAGAGGAAGTGGCTGTGTGTCCAGAGCAGAGAACAAAACAACTCTCAGCCCCTTTGGCAGGCAGGCACCGTCTTGTCCTCCCTGCCTCCCACCCCCCACTGTGTCTCCATGTCCTATACTATCTGCCCATCCTCACCTCCTCCCCTTCTTGTACAGTCCCTTCATCCTTCCCTTCCTGTGAGGTCCAGCTCAGCCAGGGTGTGTGAGGCCAAGGTAGGAGCACCAAAGTCGAAGGGTCTGGATCTGAGTCCAGACTCTTAACATGAGGCTTAGGCAAGATACCTCTTCGCTGAGTCTCAGTTCTCTTTTCTGAAAAATGGCAACAGTGCTAAAGCCTTCCCAGCCCTGTTTACAAATAATATACACACACCTGTAGCAAAGTGATTTGCTTGTGGTTGGTACTAGAGAAATGGTTTGTTCTCTCTCTCTTTCTCTTTCTCCCTTAGAATGAGAGGTGGCTTGGCAACTTCTTTTCTCGTTACCTCTGCCTAAAGGAGCCCTGCTAAACAGTCTGCTTAGCCTTTGGTCAATCATAATGGCATCTTCCAGTTGAAGCAACATTGTTCTCATTGTAGAGATAAGAAATGGGGGCTCAGAGAGGTTGAGTGATTTGTTCAGTGCCACCCAGCAAGTGAGTGCTGCAGCTGGGACTGGTACTACATCAATTTTCCTCCTAGCCTACCTTGTTTTGGTTTCCCTCAGTCCTAGGCTGGGAAACTAGCCTGTGCTTCAGTGGGGGGTGTGGCATTGCTGTGACTCTCTCTACTGCCCTGGGCAGTGTTCATTAGTCCCTGGGAGGAGTACATCCGAGGGTGTGTGGTGCTGGACAACAGCCCAGGTGGAGTCTGGGATAAGATGGCATAGACGAGGCTGCTGTTCAGGTGCTTGGCTGCCCGGCCCATCTGTCCAGATGCCTGATGTGTCGTGTTGGCCCTGTTGCCTGCCCCCACTCCTGGAGACTTTCCCTGGCCATGCCAGTATCCCTTGTGTTTGGTCAGCTTATGTCTGCAAGGTTCAGATACTAGGCTAGGCCCTCCTGGACCAGTGGTTGGGGGAAGGATGCTGGCTTTACTGACCACTTCCTGTCTTATGCTCTCTGCTGGGGCTGCATGTCTGGAGGAACAGAACAAGAGGTGCCTGTACTTGGAGGCTTCTGGTCCAGTGATGGTTCTTACCATCAGGTTCCTGGAATGGGAAATAGTGAGGTTTTGGGGGGAGATAAGGAGTTCAGTTTTAGATTGCTGTGAGGGTCATGGTTCACCCAGGGTGTGAGGTGGGTGGTCTGGGACCCAGAAGAGGGGTCTAAGATGGACACAGGTCATTGGTAGCAAGAGATGTCATGGAAACTTATCATAGACAAGACACTGAGCTTGATGTGGCCAGGTGCTGGCCCCAGAAAGGAAGGAGAGACCAGAGATGAGGGATTGGGCTAGCACTAATGACAGACATCTCTGAAGCCAGGGGGTGACAGTTTCAAAAAGGGGACTGTGTTCAGGGATATGAGATGCTGCTGAGGTCTTGGAGGCTATCATGAGAAAGAGAGAGTCTGGATTTGGAGATGAGGCTTGGGGGTAGTTTTAAGGGAGTTAGGTCATGGGGATTAAGAAGTGATGAGTGTGCTATGTACAGAATTGGGGATAATTTTTCCAGAGGTACTATGAAGAAGGCAGAGTGATCAACGGAGGGCCAGGAAAGCATGACTCAATATGTTCGCTGATGGGCACCCGGTCAAGGTGTCCACAGGGCAAAAATATGCCCCATTAGATGAAGGATGAAGGAGCTCTGGTGGTGCAGTGGTTAAGTCATTTGGCTGCTAACCAAAGGTTAGTGGGTTGAACCCACCAACCACTTTGTGGGAGAAAGATGAGGCAGTGGTTAGTGGGTTGAACCCACCAACCACTTTGTGGAAAAGATGAGGCAGTCTGCTTCCGTAATTTACAGCCTTGGAAACCCTACAGTGGTCGTTATTAGTTGAAATCGCCTCAATGGCAGTGAGTTTGGTTTTGTTTTTGGGACAAGGGATGAGTGTCTGGGAGACACCTAGAGATACTGTTGCCCTCCTGATGGTGTCACCAGCCAGTGTGCTGCTGGGGTCAGCGACTGGTCTGCTTCAGTCCAGGGAGGCCTAGGGAAGGCTAGTGAAACAAAGAGAGGAAGGAAAAAAGGTGAGTGCGGCCTGGCCAGCTCTGCACACTATTGTGCTTGTGGCTTATGGTCTAGTAGCACCTCTGAGTATTAGAAACTGGAGAGAATTCAGGCTGTGGAGTCAGGCCAATGGTTTTATCTCCCTGCTCTGCCACGTACCAGCTGTGTGCCCTTGGCAGGCCTCTCCCCAGCTCTGAGCCTTAGTTTTTTGTTTTTGCAATGAGATGATGATGCCCCCTTCACAGGGCTGCAGGGAGGGAAGCACAGGCACTCACTAACTTGGTGTCCAAAGCAGGGACATTAGCTACTCCATAAATGACAGTTCTCTTGTCTTCTTGTCCTCTCAGGGACGAATGTGCCCAGCCAGCCCTCTGCTGCCTTGCCGTGGCCTCCCCTCTCTGGGACAGTGGCCACCATGTTCTCATGCGTGAAGCCCTATGAGGACCAGAACTACTCGTCCCTGAAGCGGGCCTGCCTGCGCAAGAAGGTGCTCTTTGAAGACCCCTACTTCCCGGCCACCGATGACTCACTCTACTATAGGGGTGCCCCAGGGCCTGCCGTCAGGTGGAAGCGACCCAAGGTCAGTGTCTGGTCCTGACCAGAGCTCGGTGAGCCAGGTGGTGGGTAGGCTGGTGCCACGGGCTGAGTCTAGGGGCAGCAGAGTGGCTGGGAGGAGTCATCTCCGGGCCATAGGTCTGCAAGGACTGTTGGCTGTCCAGAGAGTGGAGGTACCAGTGCTCAGCCCTCTTGCTGGGGGATTTGATCTGAATGGAGAACTGGGACAATAGACCCTAATCCCTTGGCCACCACTGCCTAGCTGGGACCTCGACCTTGACCCCTCTCTGGACCTCAGCTCTGTCACCTTCCTTCCCAGGTTCAATTTTGGGTTCAAAATAAGATGTGGATTTGACTTTTTATTTTTTTTTGGTAAAATGTAGAATGATATTCAAATGTAAGGAATTTACTTTCCTGGTGATTACTACAGTGATTTTGAAACTGTCATTGGCTGGGTAAATGGAAATTATTTAGTATGATGAATAATCAATAATAATAATAAGAGTTGTATGCAGTAGAAGGACCTAGCTCATAGGGCTGTGGTGTGGATGCAGAGGAATGCATGAGAGGCCTGGCCTTGGGCCTGGCCCCCAGTCCAGGGAGCTCTCCTTTTCACATTGAGGACAATGATGATTTTGCAGCGGCTCTCTTAGGGGGGCTCCCTGACCCCCCAATCCCGGCCTTGGGCACTGAGTCAGAAGTATGTTTAATAGAAATGTTTGACCTCATGGCATGATTTTATCCTCAACTCCCAAGTGTGGAGGGTAGGACAAAGAGAGTTCCATGGCGTGTGGCTGCTTTGTCCTGCAGACTGGGTACCTGGGGGGCTGGGTAAAGGGGAGGCTGCTGGAAATCACTGCCCAGGACTCCCCACCCCGCTCATTCTCCTGAGCTGTGTTGGTGAATGTGGAAGGTGTTCACACAGAAGGGACTACAATGCGGGAGACCTGCAGTCCTCAGGATGCTTAGGGTCTGGGGCTCAAAGAGGTTGTGACTCCTGCTGCCCAGTAATCTGAGAAGGCTTCTCGGAGTCCATTCAAGGAGGGGGAGGCATTTGCCAGGAGAGGCTGTGCAGGCAGAGGCGTGGTGTGATAGGACAGCAGGCACGAAGCCCTCAGGCATGTTTGGAAGTGGGCCTCCTGGAGCGTGAGGGCCCTGGGGAGGAGGGCAGGGCATTGGGGGAGAGCAAGGCAACTGGCAGTCAGCAAAATCTAATGTGCAGGCCAAGTGCTCCTTCTTTCCTCTGAGGGCAGTGGATGGAACCATTGAAGTCCAGCTTTGAGCAGGCATGACAAGGTCCCTGTGTGCATGTTACAGCGTTCCTTCTGGCCCCCTGCACTTTGGGGAAGAATGGAACTTAGTGTTCTAGTTCTGCTTCCAGGCTGTGATTTCAGGTCCCTTTAAACTCAAAAATCCTGTGTATTTTCTTAGGCTGGGATGCTTGAAAGGAAGAGAAACTGAGGCCAAGAGGGGAAGGCACGTGTCCCCAGGTCACCTAGTGAGCAGGTAGCAGAGATAGGCTGGGCTCCAGGAGGCCTATTTCCCAGCCTAGGACTCTGTCTCCCTGGCCCCGCCTCCCCAACCCCAGATAAAGGGTCCCTGGTGCCTTTGAAAGAGCCCTGGGAGCACAGTGGTTAAGTGCTCCACTGAAGGTTGGCAGTTCAAACCCCCCAGCTGCTCTGTGGGAGAAAGATGTGCCAGTCTATTTCTGTAGGAAATACAGCCTTGGAAACCCTATGGGGCATTTCTACTGTGTCCTGCAGGGTCGCTGTGATTTGGAATCCAGTGGACAGTAGGAGGTTTGGTTTGGTGCCTTTGATCTCACCGGATGAGCTACACTAGAATCTCCGACCCCCTGCCTTGCTTTTCCAGAACTCCCAAGCACCTCCTGGCCTGGCTATAACATTCTGCCTCTTGGGTCACCCCACTCTCACAATTTCCTCTGTCTTCTTTGTCAAGTGGGTGGGGGAGGAGGCCAGGCTGAAAAGGGCCTTTGTGAGGCCTTGAGTGTGGGGAGGGCGGGGGACACTTGAGCTTTCTGCTCTCCTCTGGCTCTGCTTGCTCACTGCCCCTGTCCTGAGCCTGTCCTGCTCTCCAGCCATCACCCATGATGTTTTAGAACCATGGCTCTGGAAGGAGGCTGGCCAGCTCCTGTGTCCCCTGCTGTGTGACTCTGGCTGAGTCACCTGCCCTCTCTGAGCTCTTTCCCTGCAGGTTTAAGAGTCCCACCACACCTCCTTTCTCCTTCACTGCCTTCTTCACTGGGCACCTGCTCTGCACACAGTCCTATTCTAAACACTGAGGCCAAAGAGGGGGCAGGTAACAGTGTGTGGTTAGTGTTGCTATGGTAGCAGTAGGGGGATTGAGTCTCAGTTGGGAGGCAGTTTAAGGCCAGACCCAGGCTGAATGGTGTTGGATGAGAATTACACTAAGTGGACAGGGGGTGATGGATGAACCACATCGCTGCAGAGATTTGAAAAATCGAGTCTGTGCAGCAGGGCCTGCTGGTTGGAGCCTGGGCTGATGAAACAGGCAGGCCCCAGACTCTTCTAAAAAGGATAGGGGTTTGTGGTGCAGGAAATCAAGCCCTTCTTAGTTCAGGGGGAGGAGGCAGGCCTGGCCCAGGCTGGGTAATCATTAACTCCCACCTGTGTGGGTGATAAGCTGGAACTTTGGCCTGAGGCTGTGTTTCTATGAAGTAGGGCTTCCTGCATCCTGTGGCCTGTTTACAGATAATCCACTGCCATAAATCCATTCCAACTCATAGCAACCCTGTAGGACAGGCCTTACAGGGTTTCTAAGGCTGTCAATCTTTATAGAAGCAGATTGCCTCATGTGTTTCCCACCGAGTGGCTGGTGGGTTCAAACTGCTGACCTTTTTTGCTTAGCAGCCCAGTGCTTTAACCACAGTGCCACCAGAGCTCCTTGTTTTCAGATAGAGCAAAAGCCAACTTTTTTCTAAAGCCTGGAAGAAGCCCTTCTTCACTTCCACCCCACCTCCAGTTCTCACTCCCTAAGTTGTCAATCATCACTGCTTCTCTGCTCTTGAACGAGCCCCTCAGCCGACTCTGTGCCTCCCTCCTTGCCTTTCTCCCAAAACGGAATAAGAAGGCTAGTTGATTTTTTTTCAATAATTAATTTTGTTGTTGAAAACATACACAGCAAAACATGCGGCAATTCAATAGTTTCTACATGTACAATTCGGTCACTGTTTCCATTCTTCAAATTCTTCAAGTTGTGGACCATGCTCACCCTCCTTTTCTGAGTTGGTCCTCCCTCATTAGCATAAACTCACTGCCTGCTAAGCTTTGTCTACCCTTTCAAGTTGCTGTTGTCAGTTTGATCCCCTGTAGATCTTCTAAAGAGCATGATGCTCAAGGCAGACATACTTTACTAATTAAGTTAAACTACTATTTGGTTTAAGAAATTCTGGCGGTGTAGTGCCTAAGGCATTTGACTGTTAACCAGAAGCTTGGAGGTTCAAACTCCGTGGAAGGAAGATGGGGCAGTCTACTTCTGTAAAGGTTTATTGCCCAGGAAACTCAATGGGAGTCACTATGAGTTGGAATTGACTCGATGGCAGTGGGTTTGGTTTAGTTTCGGTTTATTATTTGGTTTGACGAAGACTTTAGGGAATGTATCTGGTTTAAAGTTTAAGTTTTATAGATAGATTATCTCAGGGCAATAGTTTTGGGAGTTCATCCAGCCTCAGTGGCTCCAGAAAGTCTGAATTCCA